AATTTACTACACACCCCAACAATTCTACTCCCAGGAAATCTACCCAAGAAAAATGAAAGCATACATTCACAAAGATATGCACATCAATGTTCGCAACAGCATTACTAATTAACAAAAAATGCAAATTAAACATCTATAATCTGGCGAATGAGTAAACAATAGTGGAATGATATTTAACATAGAAATTGACTACAGGTACATGCTAAGATGTAGATAAACCTCAAAAACATGCTAACTCAAAGCAGCAGATATGAAAAAAATACATATAGTATGAGTCATTTATATCAGGTTTATAGAAATGAAAAATTTAGAGAGACAGAAAACAGATCAGTGATTGCCTATGCCTGGGAGTAGAAGCAGGCAACTTTTTGGGTTAAGGGAAATGTTCTAGAATTGGATTGTGGTGTTATTTTCACAAATCTATAAATTCACTAAAATCACTGACTTCTATACTTATAATGGTGAATTTCATGTGTACATTATACCTCAATAGTTTTTTTTTTTTTTAAAGTAATACAACAAAATAAATGTCTGGCTGACAGCTCATTCATTTCATATAATTTTCAATACAATGAATTCTAGTATGCTGTTAGAATTAAAAATATTACCATTTGATCAAAAACATGAACTTCAAGGACTCACCTCTCTAAACCTTACTGATCAAACATTTTTAGCTACATACCATGTCACCATGTGGCAAAATCTATTACTGCTTTAGCACTGGCTCTTGGCCATTTTATTAACTTGTTTCCTCCTAACTTTAGGCATTATGTATTCTTTTTTTTAATGGAAATCTCATTTGGTATTGCCCACGTTTCCCATTAGATACTTTTGTCAGAATATTTCATAATTGAAAATAAAATAAGTATTTAGACTGAACATGCATTTGTACATCTGTACTCCCAACAGGGGAAAAAAAAAAGTTATTATTTTTTTTCCTTCTTTTGTTTGGTCACTGACATACTGCCCCTGGTAACTTTTTAACTTTTCATTGTTTCAAAGCAAGCTTTGCTTTTCCTATTTTAGTTCAATTTTTTTTTTTCTTTGCTTTGAACTTGATAGTTTTTCGTTTTCAAAGCAGTGCTGTCTTCTGTGCTCAGGCAGGCTTGGATTTTGGTGAGATTCCATCTCTATCCATTCCACTGAAAGACTCATCAAGAGGTAGTTTTCCCTCTAAAGTAGCCATAAAAAAAATCAACAGAACATTTTTCCTGAAACTAAATCTTCTATACGATATACCAGTCGCCTACAACAGGTCAATGTAGAAAGCTACAGATGGAGTGGAGGAGGTCCCTGCCGACTGTGGCCCGTCTCCATGACATACAGCAGCGCCCAGGTGACACCGAAAACCAGTGCGCTCAACTATAAGGTGCTTGGTGATTTTTGCACAGCACAACAGAAACCTAGACTAAGAACATATACTCAAGCAACACTTGTAGGAGAAGAGAAACTTGGACATACTTAATTTTAGAAAAACATTTTGTTATTGTTTTTAAATAATCCCCAAAGTAATTTCTCTTTAAAATGTAACTCTATGAATAAAAATATCACTTCTTAGAAATGCCATCTACTATAAAAGCTGTGCACCTTTTATCGTAACTTCCTTACTTATAACAGATTTTAAAACACAAAAACCAAGGAGATGTCAAAGGCTACATAAACACAAAACAGAGCCTATGAAAAGTTTTCAAATAAATGAGTTGATCAGCAGGAAATGCCACCTACCCAAAAGGCAGTAAAGAAAGTAAGACAGCAAGAAGGTTCTGGAAAACTTATGTAACTAAATTAGGTTTTTGTTTTTTTTTTCAAAGTATTATCTGCCTCCAGAACCAGGTACAAATCAAGCAGATAATCAGTCAAAATCACAACAAATAGTAAGAATAAAGCTGGCAAAGGGGATCTGTACTAGTAAGAATCTTCAGATTTATCTTAACTACAAAATGTCATCCATTTCTCATCAGAAATCAAAGGTAGAAGTATCATGATATATAATTTCACATTTCCATGATACAAATTATTGCTGTGTTAAGTGTAAAAATAATAAGCCCTAATCTGAACCCTAGTCAGCACATCATGTAAAAATCATAATTCAGGTATTGTGTCCTCAGTTATTAAGATATAAATTAAATAGTTCACATTTTAAAAACAATTTATCATTACATTATCAACCTGATAAAATCTTATCAAAACATCTAAGTATTCAATATAAATCATATTGTTAAAAGTGTCAGATAGCATTTAAAGAAAACTGGTAAGGTGCCAGGTAAGTATTTTTCTCTTAAATACACACAGTTTAACATTTAGAACTACACAAATCAAATCTTGCTAGAAGTTGATCATTTTTATGAAGGCATACTTTGTGGACCATAACAAAATTTACCTACCACCCCTTTTTTTTTATTCCAAAATGCTTTCATTAGGCTTAACTTTCTTCTGTCATTGACATGTAAAGTTACAGAAGTTTTACAACATGCAGTCTAACAGTAAATGTTAAAACTCAAAGCAAAGTGCCTATTAAACTACTCAAACTTCTTACCATCAAATAAAAAAATAAATGAACACTTAATCCATTTAAATCTTTGAGGAAAAAAAAAATTAAGTTGCCTTGCTTTTAAATAAGAATTCTCCAGTGAGGATAATATATAAAAGATTTTTCATGTTATTTTATTAAGTTTACTTTCATTAAAACTTTTAAAAAGTCTAATGAAGGGCACCCACTTACAATGCCGTATTACACAACTACAGTATTGTTAATCAAATAAAGCAGCCCAGTAAGTTGTAAACATTTTAAATGTAGTAAACAAGACTTGGCATGTCTTTTCTCCCCAAAACTTGCCGTTACAATCAATGCTTTTGCTATAAATAATTTTTCTTTTGGGAAAAGTTTTCAGGTATATTTTAGTCTTTAGAAATTAGTACAATGAAATAATATGTGAAAAGATTTAGTCATGGCAATTTCACTGAAGCTTTTATTGCCTCTGTTGGTAATATGACAGGGATTTTAAGAAACACAATTGAACTTACAGAGATAATGCAGATGATATTCAATAAAGATAACCTTGATCTCAAGTATTTTTATATGTGGGCACTTCTAATTGTATACATTTTATTATTAAAAAAAGCATTACATTTTAAAATGTGTACCTGTTTTGACATTTGGCAAAAAGGAAACTGTACCTGTGGTTCAGTTTAAAACAAAGAATCAGTATGGGGGTAGTTTACCAGGATGAAGACTGAAGCACTTATGAAATAAAGCAATTCAAGTTGTGTGTGTGTGTCTCTTTCACACTCTCTCACAGACACACATTCACCCTCACAAACACATACAGACACACTCACACATGACCATATGTGTTAGCATTTTTAATACAAAATATTCCCTGTAACCAGACATTTACCCTCAGAACAATCACATCATGTTAAATCAGTCTTCTCTTTTCAGCCCTAGTAATAGTTTTAATTCTAAGATGCCATCATAGAGTGAACAACCTTTTATGCTACATAATTATATTCAAAAGCTTTATGTATTTTTGTTTATAATTACACAGTAATTATATGTTTAGTACCAAACTGATGACAAACACTATTTTGTTGAAAAGGTCTTGCATTTAAAAGGAAAAATCTTTAAAACTCCAAGGCACTAGGCCACAAATCAATATCAGACTTTTATGAAAAACAATTCATATTGAGGGGGGAAAAAAAAAAGCTAAATGGATGTCATTCAAAAACACAGCATACCTGAATTAATCAAAAAATAATACTATAACTCAAAATCTCCAAGACAGGAAACAAAACAGTCCATACATACATACATACATACATACATACATATATATATATATATATATATATACCTTTTTAAAATTTTTCATAATTGAAGTTACTCTCTTTATTTACAAAAATGGATTCAGGAAATACTGAAAGCAGCAGGATTCTCCTTTTTTCTTCCTTTTGTTTTGAATAACCAATTCCAGTAACCTAAATAGAAATTTTCAAATTCTCCTTTTGGTAGAATTATATTCTTCAATTAAAGATATGATTGAAATATTAATATAATATCAATAAGGACAGCTTTCTAGTCCATTTCAAAATCATGTAGGTAAAAAGTCTCAATGTCATTGTTTCTTAACATCATTTCCACATCTATATAAAATATGCTATTATTCTGAAGTATATTCCTTTGCTAATTTAAAACACTAGGCCTTCAAGAGTACCTGGCTAAACCAAGCAAACTCTCCTCCTACTACAGAGCATGTTGTTGTTGTTGTTGTTATGTGCCGTCGAGTCGGCCCGACTCATAGCGACCCCTCCTTGGGTTTCCGAGGCAGTATCACTACGGAAGTAGGATTGCCCAACCTTCCTTCCGAGGAGTGGCTGGTGGGTTTGAACCGCCAGCCGTCTGGTTAGCAGGCAAGTGTCTTAGCCACTATGCTACCAGAGCTCCTTATCATCTAGCATTTGGATTTTAACATTTTTTAACTTGCATTATGGAAATGTTTAAGAAAGCAATAACCCCCTCTTCACACATCAGTAAGTGAACAGAAAAAGGAGTATTTTCAGCATGAAAGCAGCTCATGGATCCTGTAATGAAAAAAATACAAGATACCATTCTGCTCTGATGTGAAAATTGAGCTAATTTGAGTACAAACAAAAACAATTATAGGAGATTAAATAATTTACGAAAATAGAAGCCAGATTGGTATTTTTGCATTATGTGTATGCTTGCTTGACAATCTTTGCTCCTGAAGAACGTATTTGGCAACCACAGTGATTAGCAGTTAAAGCAATTTCAACAAAATAAGAAGTCATCAAAAATGGACTGTTTGTCTGAAAGAGCAGTACCTATTTTATAAAGATTGAACTTCATGGCTCACCACAACCATTTTCAAAAGTTAATTCTTACTATCTTCTTATAAATTAAGGGAATCTCATTTGTGTTTCATAGTGAGATGACCAAAAACAAAAACAAAAAGCAAAACAAAAAAATAAAACCTCATGCCTAAATTTAGAATATTGTATTGTGTAGCAATCTAAAACATTCAAAACAAATTAAATAGTTTAACTTATTTGACAGGCATAAAGCATTTCAAAAATCACAATGAAATTCAATCATGTAATGCATAATGTAGAAAGAAGTGGAGTCTAGCATTATGCAGACATCTTCTAAATAAAAGCTCCCTGTAGAACAACTATGTATAAACATGGGGAAGATAAGTGCAGACTACTTCTGTGGAACCTTTTGAAATCATGGGTCTGAAGCAAAATAAAGTTTTCAGGTAGGCACCAAGTTATTCTAATTTTTTCACGTCAGTTATTTGACATTTTTTTCATCAGATACTCTACTCACAGCAATAATACATGTGATCTGGGGGGAGAAAAAAAAATCCCAAAACCAAAACACCATTTCAGATCTGGTACACTTAAATGTATCATTTTCATTGGAAGTGCTATCAGCATAGTCTTTGCAACTAGCCCAAAGCATCTATTTAAGAAGTTTTTATAAATTGTTTGTGATGTTCATGTTTAATTCTTATGCCAAACTGTTTTCTGATGAAGACAGCATTGTGCTTTATGCGAGAATGGAAACCTCAAAATAATCACCATAAAGCTTCTAAGACTTATGGGAGAAAAACTAGGATGGTCCACAGATATAAGATGAACTCCACAATGTTGAAATTATAAATGTTTAGAGCGGCCCAGACTAGAAGACAAGCCCAAACCACCATTAGAAGAATGAAATACGCTATGGTCCAAGATGTATCCTTAAAGTTTTGTCTCAACCCTCAGCCTGAATTATGAGGATTGATCTTCAGTTCAGTTCAGCCAGCAGAAATTGACTGTGCAATTTTCCGTTGTATTTATTGTACAGACTATGTACATTCTAGAAAGTTCTTTTAGTGCTACACTGTTGTACTTTTTGTCCCAGCAATTTGAGGGCGTGCAAATTCCACAAAGTCATCAATAAGAACAGGCCATGCTCCTGGAAAAAAAGAAAAAATATGGGAGAAAAGGAAGAAAGAAAAAGCAGAAATAAAGCTAACATTTTAACAGAATTCTTTTTTTAAAAAATATTTTCCCTATAATAGTATGTATAATTCTTATCTATTCCTACTGATGAATTCCAAAATTCTAGCTTTTTAGAGTTTCAACCCAAAATACTCCTTGTATTCTTTCTGCTATATTAAGCCAACATCTGGCAATAAACCAAATCACTGAGTTTTTCTACAGGTTATTAAGGAAATTCAACACGAGGTAAAAATCGGTAGGCTTAAGGAATGGCCAGGATATGACAGCAATGCTGTCAGTGTACTAGGGGGAAACAAGGTTTCAGGCCTTTTGTGGCAGTCTTACAAAGAAAACCAACAGTAAGTATCCAATTGCACCCTATTACATGATAATAAGGGGCTCTGGTAGCATAGTGCCTAAGGCACTTGACTGATAACCAGAAGGCTGGTGGTTCAAACCCACCAGCCACTCCACAGGAAGGAAGGTTGGGCAATCCTACTTCCATAGTGATACTGCCTCGGAAACCCAAGGAGGGGTCGCTATGAGTCGGGGCCGACTCGACGGCAAATAACAACAACAACCACCACCATGATAAGAAATTACTAAAAGATTTTAAAGTACACACATGCACACCCCTACACTTCTACATGCCAACCTCCAAATCAGGACAGTTTTCCAGCTTTCTGAAACGCCACCAAAAAGCATCACTCTCAGTCATATACAAGACTCTTAATTTTTCAATGAAGGCTATACATGGCTATGGAAAAAGGAAGAAAAAAACATCATCCCTGGTTAACTTACAGGATTCTGGGATACTTGTTAGGCGGCCAATGTCCCTGGAGATTTTTCAGAGAATACCTCTGTCTATTTAACAGTCTCACAAATTCATCCTGCTAATTACTCAAGGAGGACCAGGGAAGTATGTGTGAAGATACTGATGTAAATCACTATCACTTTTGGAAAAAGAAAAGTGCATGTCCTGATAGTAGATGGTAGCACCATCTTTATACATACATGAAGACACATCAGAAAAATTTCAGTAAGTGGATACTCATTTAATGTCTATAGTACTAGATGGCTGTAGTATATTCCAAATCACAAAGGTCATTGAACTCAAGGAGTTTAAAATCAAACTTATACAAAATATACACATATAAGAACAAAACTGCATTAAGAAGAGAACTAAAGTGAACTGAAAATCTAAACCATGGCTGAAAATTACCCACGCCTTCCTGGTAGACATGAGTAAGGACTTGGAATCTAAATAAATAAAGAGAAAATGCAGATTGATATAGAGGAGGAAGGCCATTTCATACATTCAGATGAGCTCTAGTAAAAGCTAAGAGGGAAATCCAACTACAAGAAAAGCAGAAATGGACAAGTAGTTCAGGAATATGTGATAAATGGCAGTGAGAGAGAAAAACTGGTAGGGCAAAAAGTTTCATTACTTAACATATCTGACAAGGGACTTATCTCTAAAATTTATAAAAAACTCCAACACCTCAATAACAAAAAGACAAGCGATCCAATTCAAAAATGGGCAGAAGACATGAATAGACACTTCACCAAGGAGGATACTGAAGCGGCCAACAAACATATGAAGAAATGCTCATGATCATTAGCAATTAGAGAGATGCAAATCAAAACAACAATGAGATACTATCTTGCTCTAGCACTAGTAGCAAAGTTCAACAAGACACAAAATAAAAAATGCTGGTGAGGATGTGGAGAGACTGGGACTCTCATACGCTGCTGGTAGGACCGTAAAATGGTACAACCATTGTGGAAAGCAGTATGGCGATTCCTTCAAAAGTTGGAATTAGAAATACCATTTGACTCAGCCATTCCATTACTAGGTATATACCCTAAAGAAGTGAGAGCCATGACAAGAACAGACATATGCACACCTATGTTCATCGTAGCACTATTTACAATAGCCAAAAGATGGAAACCACCTAGGTGTCCATCAGCTGAGGAATGGATAAACTATGGTACATACACACAATGGAATACTATGCAACACTAAAGAATAATGCAGAATCTGCAAAACACCACATAACGTGACTTAGAGGACATTATGCTGAGTGAAATAAGTCAATCACAAAAGGACAAATGTTGTATTAGTCCGTTATTGTAAAAGTCAAGGAAAGGTTTATGGAAGGGAATTTTCTTTGTTGGTTACCAGGGGTGGAAGGGTAGGGTAGGGAACACTGTTAGCTAGACAGAGATAAGTATTGATTTGGGTGAAGAGAAGGGCAATGTACCAAATGTGAGTGATCAATATGGTGGCATCAAGGAAGAGAAAGACAGAGAGAGATACATGTGAGGTACAGACAACAAAGATGAACCCTTTTGCACATACAGTACTGTGTTGTCAGTGAAGGCTAACATGGGTATATGGGTGGATAGATGGGTGGACAGGCTGAACTAGTAGGTATGTCTATGAAGCAGAGAGTGTACCCAAGAACATGTATAGGGTTGGCAGACAATGGTCCTATAAGTTTATGTGTATGATCTGAATTCCCAGGTGAATAGTAGAGCTGACAAGGGGCAAGGCTGTAGTCACTGCTTGGTTACAGCCAGCTACCCAGAGGGACCGAGTAGTTGAACCTGTGGGCTCTGGACCACAGTCCCAAGGGACATCAAGCTCAATTGGCATAATATACTATACAAAACATTGTTCCACCTCCTACTTTGGCGAGTAGTGACTGGGATCTGAAAAGCTTGCAAGCCACCATCTAGATGCAACAATGGGTCTCTCCTACCCAGAGCAAAGAAAAATGAAGAAAATCAAAAATTCATGGAAACAATTAGTCCTAGCAATGGGTACACCATCCGATTTGCAGCGTAGAAGAATTAGATGGTGGCCGGCTACCACTGTCAACCACTTGGAAGAGGATCTATGTAGGAGATCCTGGATGGAGAGGAAGAAAAATGTGGAACAAAACTCAAAATCATTTGGAGAAAAAAAAGGGGGGGACGACCATGTTTGCTGATCCGATAGAGCCTGGTGGAACCACTGACACTATAGCCCCTAGCTGCCCTTCAGGTCTGGAATTGAATGCACACCTGTGGCTTCCAGCCAAACAAAAGACAGGCATATGAAATGAACATTTACCTGAGGTAGATACACTCCTGGGAGAGAACAATCATGGGAGAAAGAAGGGCTGCTTATGCACAGGGAGACAGCTCAGGGAGCAGGAGTGCATGGAGGGATGAATACAGGGAAGAGGTAACTATTGGGAGGAAGTGGGAGGGGAGCTATTGCATTGTGGTAAATTGTGGTCAATTTCATGAGACAAAGTGTATGTGAACTGCTGTATGGAAAGTGAACCTGCTCTGTAAATTTTCACCCAAATCACAATTAAAAAAAAAAATTTCATTACCTTCTTCATCATAATTAGACATGTCATCTGCAATCATTGTACTGAAGTCTAAGAGGAGATTCCATGTGTCTTTTGGTATTGATCGTTTATGATGTTCCTATTAAAAACACACACACATAGACATTCAACTGAGAATAGGAAAAACACCAGTCTAGATAATGCTAAACAGAAGAATGCACAAAAACACTTGTGTAATAAATTCTACTAATTGATTTTCCTTCTATGTTCATTATAAAGTTCTGAAAGAATTTATTCATGCTTTAATATATGTTGTTTTCAAACAAAGCCAAAAGAGCAAAATATGGAACTTAGGAAATATGAACTTACCAACAAAAATTTATTCCATAAGTCTAAGAATTTAAATCTTCCATTAAGCACTAAATTCCAGTAGGCAATGGCCATTTCTAGATCTGTAATATTAAAAATAAATCATGCATTTCAACGCCATAAATATTTGTGCTTATAAAAAACAAGTCAGACAAAAAAAGCCTGAAATGAAAAGTTTATATCCTGAATATTTATGTATTAAAAGTTCCCTACAGAAATAAGCCCAGGGTTTGTATCCTGCCTCTGTCACAATGATCAGGGCCTTCAGAGTAAGAAGAAAGCACTTACCTCATGGAGGTGTTGTGAAGTTCACTGAGAATAACATCTCGCTCTTAAGCATTCAAGTATCATTGTACACCAGGATTGCTCAACCTTGCATTTTTTACATTTTGGGCCAGATAATTCTTTGTTATGGGTGCTGTCCTACGCATTGTAGGATCTTTAGCAGCATCCCTGGTCTCTACGTAATAGATGCCAATAGCTTGCCACTCCTCCCAGTGTTGACAACCAAAAGTATTTCCACATATTTGCCAAAAGTCAGCCTGGGGGGCAAAATCATCCTCAGTCGGGAATCACTGATGTACATTTAGGGTGAGATACAAAGGCTTGCTATAAACTAAGATTTGCTCTTTTTAAAAGTTTACTGAATATAAATGGTTTTTTAATGGGGCTTGGAAGTAATACTGTCACATGTCCAAGACAAAGAATTATCCTTGTTATGTGACAGAGAGAGAGAACTGTGATTTCTTTCAAGGAACTAAAGTAGTGAAGAAAGTTATCTAGTGAATTTACATCTCCAAAACAGGAAAAATTACATCCCAAGTAACTTAAAATCCTTTCAGATGTGATCTCAAAACACTCTTGATAATCTGAGAAATCATGACAGACTGGGAGACTTTAAAGGGCTAGAAGATTGGCAAGTGCTGCCCCAATTTTTAAAAACACTAAGAAAGAGTAATCTTGGTACTGATTCACTGGTAAAAACATATGATTTATAAGAAATTAATTAAATTATATTCTTACGTACGTAATTGTATGTATTTGTATTTTGAGCTTACAGCTGGTTATCCTCAAGGGGTAGTGGGAAAACCACACATTTGCAGCCAGCAGGTCAGAAGTGAGAGTGTAGTGGGGACTCGCAAGCTTCTGGCTGGCATCTGAGGTCTTAGGCAAACTCAGTGGTCTAGAGGACTATGTCCTTTAACTTGTGAGCTCTGATTTAGCTCTGAGTGTTTAGCGCCAAAGGAAGAAGTACTGGAGGTACTGGTGTCAGGATAGAACAGAGAATAGAAATGATAATAAATTGACTTGATCAATAATACAGCACAGTTATTTTATCTACAGAAAAAAGGCAGAGGATGGCCAATACAACAGATTACTAATACCATAAAGCAGTCTCATCATCTTTGCTAATCTCCCTTCTGAGAAGTACTATCCTCACAGAAACCCAATTAAGGAGAGATTCAAGAAACTTACCAGAATTTCACGGCCAGCAAATTCCATCTATACCTGTCCTATAGAGTCACTATGAGTCAGAATCAACTTGACGGCACACAACCCCACCTGCTATCCCTAAGTATTACCAAAAAATGCAAAACTCGCTGATACCTTTTTGCTACTCTCATCCCAATCCACACAACTATGACTCTTTCCTTGATTTTGTTCTCAGAACAAAGGGACACTGCATGGTTTAAAATTGGGAAGGGTGTGCATCAGGGTTGTATCCTTTGACCATACTCATTCAATCTGTATGCTGAGTAAATAATCCAAGAAATTGGACTACATGAAGAAGAACATGGCATCAGTATTGGATTCAGTTAACAACCTGTGATATGCAGACAACACAGCTTTGCTTCCTGAAAGTGAAAAGGACTTAAAGCACTTAACTGATGAAGTCTGTAGTATGGATTACACCTCAACATAAAGAAAACAAAAATTCTCACAACTGGACCCATAAGCAGCATCACAATAAATGAAGATTGAAGTTGCAGATTTCATAATTACTTAAAGCTACAATCAACACCAAAGGAAACAACAGGCAAGAAATCAGACCTCACATTACACTGGGCAAATCTGCTGCAAAAGACCTCTTTCAAGTGCCAAAGAGCAAAGATGTGTCTTTGAAGACTAAGGTGCACCTAACCCAAGCCGTGATATTTTCAATCACCTGATATGCATATGAAAGCTGGACAATGAATAAGGAAGACAGAAGAAGAGTTGATGTTTTTGAGTTGTGGTGTTGGCGAAGAATACTGAAAGTACCACGGACTGCCAGAAGAAGGAACAAATCTGTCCTGTAAGAAGTGCAGCCGGAATGCTCCTTGGAAGCAAGAATGGCCAGACTTCGTCTCACCCACTTTGGTCATGTTGTTAGAAGGGACCAGTCCCTGGAGAAGGATAGTATGCTTGGTAAAGTGGAGGGTCAGCGAAAAAGGGGAAGGCCCTCAACGAGATGGATAGACACAGTGGCTGCAACGATGGACTCAGGTATAGCAAGGATTGTGAGGATGGCGTAGCACCGGGCAGTGTTTCGTTCTGTTCTAACACAGGGTTGCTATGAGTCAGAGCTGACTCGATGGCACCTAACAACAACATTCACCTGCCTTCCTGACCCTTTGCATTGTGCCTTCTGGAATGCCCATTACAACACAACCAACTTCTCCAAGATTTTCAAACATTTTCAAAGAATATTCCTTCAACCTTCCTATCCTACCTGAAAGCCTGGATCAACCCAAAAGACACGTATCTTTGGCAATGATCTCAAGTCGCAATAGATAATTATTCCTCCCACAGGACCACAGACATTCTCTTAGATCACCCCTGTAACCTCCATACCATTATTCATCCACCTTCCTGGAAAACACTCATCCTGTTCTATGGAACATATTATATCAGCTGCCTTTCTTACTTTATCCCACCTAATCTCTAACCCCTACCAAAGACCTATTTAAACTCTCTGAGGTCTTTGGCGCTTGGCTTATGCACAGTCCTCGACTGTGAGTTCTGTCATTATCCTGAAGTTCTTCAATGTCTATGTGAATAGTCATACAAGCACTACAGCCTATTAGAATTCTACTCACCTCCACTGTACTCTAAAACCCCCTCCCCAAGACCATATCCTAAATCTTAACAGTTTTATCATTCCAAACTGTTCTCACTCAATTTTAAACACTGACAACTCAAATATATACTATATTACTGCAGCTCCCTCTTCTATTCCCACTGTATCTGTTCTTCGATCTCACTCTATATCTGAACTCTATATCTGAGTTCCCTTCATTCCCTTTTCATGATGCACTACTTCAACTCCTACCTTTGCTATGTAACTTATTTCCTCTGCCTCCTATCTTTCTGATACAACTCTTTTTGCAAAGTTCTACTACTAGCTGAGTATAACCTTTAGCTGATATCAACATCAATGTCCCACATTAATAACCTTCAAGTTTAGCAAGGCTCTTTACTCTTTTACTGTTACAAATAGCCATCTCACCAATTTCTCCCAACTTCTTCAATTTTCTTAACTCCCTACACCACTTCTCTAAGCAGATAACCTCACTTTCTTCACTTCGAAGAAAAATAGGCCATAAGGCAGAAAATCTAAACCATTTTTATTGGACTGAAACCTCTTCAAGGATAGGACTATAAACTAGCCAACTTAATACTCTCCCAAAACCAAAGAAAGCATTCAGAAATCATATCATAACTATAAATTCTCCCAAAGTATATTTATTTTCTATTCTAGTAAGAGGTATAGATATAAATAAAATTAGATAAAGCCCATTAATTCAGCATTTGATATTCATTAACACTTTTTAAAATCTTATAGTAGGTGGTGAATTATCAAATCAAAGAATGAATAACTCATAAGGTGTTACACATTAAACGAGGCAGTGTATGTAAAGTCCAAAGCCATGGCCAAGCACACTGAGAGCCCATATTAAATGGAAGCTACTGCCATCATCAAAATCTTCAGTGGGTCCCCATTTCCCACAAATTCCAATTTAAACCTTTTTGTCTCGTTTTCAAAAGAAACCTTTGATTATCTGCCTTATTTTGTCTCACCAATTTAATCTCCAAACAAGCAATCCCACTAAAATGAAACCACTATCTTCTTTGTTCCACAAAGAAGTCAACGTTATTTCTGAGGTTTCAGGACCTCATTCTTAACTATCTTCTGATTGGAAATTTTCCCTTCCTTTAGCCAGCCAAATACCAAATCCCTCAGTTTATATCCCACACCTTACCCTATAAGCACTTCCTAACAACTTCTGCTTTTAATTATTTCTCCTTTCTGGTAGCATAGTGCCTAAGGCACTTGACTGCTAACCAGAAGGCTGGTGGTTCAAACCCACCAGCCACTCCTCGGAAGGAAGATGGGGCAATCTACTTCCATAGTGATACTGCCTCGGAAACCCAAGGAGGGATCGCTATGAGTCGGGTCCGACTCGACAGCACATAACAACAACAACCACCTTTCCTCTAAAACCCTTACACACAACATTTCATTACTGTACTATCTGCTAATATGGTAATCTTTCTGGATAAAGTGTAAGTTCTTAAAGATAATGATAACACCATATCTTTTACTTCCATATCCCCTAAACAAAAAAAACCCAAAAAAACCACACTCACTGCCATTGAGTCAGATCTGACTCATAATGACCCCTCCCCTCCCTGGGTTTCCAAGGTGGTATCTCTATGGAAGTAGATTGCCCAATCTTCCTTCCAAGGAGTGGCTGGTGGGTTTGAACCGCCAGCCTTCTGGTTAGCAGTCAAGTGCCTTAGACATTATGCCACTGGAGTTCCCTAGTCATCCCAAAAAACAAATGTGTAGATATTATATAGAGAATAAATTGACATAAACTATTAATAGTGATTATTTCTGGACTACGAGATTACAAATGATGATCATTTTCTTTTTTTTTAGTTTTCAGCTCAACCATAACAACAAAAAAAATTATTTGCCATTTTATGAATTAGAAATCTTAAAATGGTTATTTCTACAAATCTGCAGTGAAATAACTTAAAATCCTAAAATACCTTCTGGATCATACATATATAAGGATATAAATAATGGTCAGTGGATTTTAACAACTATTTTCCGTACTGTAATTTTAAGAAAATTAAAAAAGAAAAATGGTCATATATACTACCCATCATAACTCTATTATGTACAATATATTCTGATTGATTAAAATGTTCACTGCTTCTCATTGTTTCTCAGTCATTAGCATTTTCACGATGACTCTACTCAAAGCAAGTAACTTTCTATTCAAAAGAAAAGGGACATTGTCAACATATCTGAAACACCAAAAATAATTTTAAAAAATGCTTACCTAATCCTTTTTGTCCTGGATTCTTTGCAAAATTAAAAGTAAACTGATAAAAGTCCTTAAATCTTCCTGGTTCTTTCAATTCTTGTTCCATCTTGGGTATCTGGGCCTTTAGTTTTTCTATGCTGTCACATCTGCATTGTAAAGTTAAGTTTACAAAAGATGAACTTCTTCACTATGAATCAAGAATTTAACTTATTTATTCCTAGATGGGCTTATCTCTATTTCATAGAATTTCTTTTTAAAAAAATCAGATAGTTGGAGAATTTCATCTTTTTACATTACATGGGGTTAAGTGGGGGAAGAAAAGGTCTGGAGTTATTGAATGTTCAAAATAATTACTATTGATAAAAGAAATAGGCTATTACTTTTAATTACATAATTCACTGGATTATCAACTTCCTGACTTGAAGAAGTCAGCTGTAGTACACAGACAAAAATTCACCAGTTTAAACTGTATTACCAGTTGCCATCCAGTCAACTCTGAGTCATGGCAACTCCATGCATGCCAGAGTTGTGTCAGCCAAGCACAACAGTTGCACCACTCAGAGACTTACGACAATCCTTGTTGTTGTGTGCCATCAAGTCTATTCTGACTCCTAACAACCCTATACTGACCCTATAGGATAGGGTAAGACTGCCCTCAGAGGGCCACTGAGGCTGTGACCTTTATGGGAGCTCATCACCAGGTTTTTCTTCCAAGGAGTGGTTAGTAACCTTTTAGTTAATAGATAAGCCCTTAACCATTGCACCACCAGAGCTTTTTGACAATCCTTACATAGTAACAAATTGCATTTCTATCTTCCAAACTATGTGAAAGCCTAGTTTTCTGCTTATGCAAGGAAGCATTCCCTTTGAAAACTTACTTCTTCTTACGGACAAAGTGCAACGATAATGATCGGCTCAGGCCCCCTGCCACTTCCAACTCAATTAAAAAAAAACATCTTCTATATGTGGAAAGCCCTCAACTTCCTAGGAGCTGAAAGGGTCCAAATTCCAAGCTTTATTTTCCTTTAACAGCCTTAAGTAAATGAGGTAATAATATACTTTCTGACAGATTCCACAAACCTATCATTCTACTTGTTTTCCTCTAAAGAATTTTGCTTTCATTTTCTTTCTATATTCTTTTTTTTTTTTTTTT